CCTGCTCCAGTGCTCTTCCTGATGCATCCCAGGATCCCAATGTCCCCCGGCCCCCAGGGCACCCCGATGGATCATGGTCACCTCGTCACCCCCAGGACCCCCAGAGCTCTCTGCAGCAGGTCAGGTGAGCCCAGCACAGAGAGGAGTCACAGAATCTCACACACCTTTATCGTGACACCCTCTCACCAGCTGTGGCAACACCACAAACCCTCCTGCCCTCCCTGGGGATTTGCTCAGCTGCCCAGTGCTCCCAGGCTTTCCTGCCAAGACTTTTAGTCCCTGACTTTCCCATTCAGGATTGAGCTGCCTTCCCAAAGCCAAGCCAGCTCCCAAGGCCACAGGCTCTTCCAAATATATGTCAAACAACACCTCTGTCAATCATTTACTGGTTTTCTCTCCACTCTGAGAACCCATCCACACTTTTTATTACATTTTCTTCTGGCTGTAGTTTATACCTTCAGAACTGTAATTTTTCCACACCATGTTTCAGTGCTCCTGTGCTGGGCAGGTTAAATTGTGTCACAATTATCTGTTTTAAAGAGATAACCCATAAGAGCCTTTGGAAAAACAACGCTGTTAAATGTAAAATTCCACTCTGAAATCCAAGAATGATGAAATTCAAGCGAGTGGAGGTGGGGCAAGAAAAAAATCATATTTGTAAAGGTTTTTCTCCAAGGTGAGGGGGAACAGAAGCTTCCTGTGTGATTTTGTGTTAATGGCTGTGAGGAGAAGAAAGCACTGGGTAACATGAACTAAATAATCTAAAATATTTTCATTTTTGTTCATGATTAGAGTAAGAATGCACAAACCACAGGATGCTCAGTGGTAAAACCCACTCTCACTGCCAAGCTCAGCAGCACAATTAACGCCTGTGCTGTGCACTCTAATCAAGGCTATGCCTAAATCTTCCCTCCCAGAAGAGTGTAAAGCTTCACTAAGAGAATGGCAATATTGTGTATATATTGTGAATATTGGGCAAGTAAGTTTTCTTGACTGAAAATTAATCTTTCCCTGTGAAACTGGGTTTTTTTGAATGAAGACAAAAATAAAAAGAAAGCATTTTGTCTGGAAAAGCAATGAGGAAGCAACCTTCCACCAGCCCAGGTTGCTCCAAGCCCCGTCCAACCTGGCCTTGGACACTTCCAGGGATCCAGGGGCAGCCTGTGCCAGGGCCTCCAGGAGCTTTCAGAGCCTCACCAGGATGGTGTTTTCCCAGGAAAAGCAGAGATCAAAGTCCCCCTACCCTGGAAGCAGAGGTGGGGTCTGTAGTGCTGCCTTTCTTCCAGTACAGGATCCTGTAGCCCCACGAGCCGTAGTACTGCCTCAGAGACCACCTGTCCTGCTTGTGCTCAGCAAAGGGGCCCGAGAAATCCACGTGCAGGGCCCCAGACTCCGACTCCACCTTCACTTCAGGGGGCCCAATCACTGCTGTGGGGAGGAAGAGAAGAAAGAGAGAAATTCAGCTTCACATTCGTTTCAATTTGACATTTTTATACAACCCACGATGATTCACATTTATCTGTTGGAAGAAAGCGATGTCTTTTCACAGGTCAGGCATAAATAAATCCTTTCCTCATGGAGAGGTCTGGAAAGGGGGCTATTTTTTCACAGTTAAACAACAGACACCAGTGCAGACTCCATTCCCTATGCCCTGGATTAGCTCAGTTCCCTTTTGCCAGCTGTGGTGACTCCTGGGAGAGGAAGGACTATTTCCATGGTTATTACTCACTTCTCCTTCTGGGCCAAGCTGTCACAAAATGTTTTTCCTCGGGAGACCCTCTAGTAAAGTGTTTTAATGTTTTTTTTCCTACTGTGATTATTTTGAAAACCAGAAACCTTTGAATTATTGCTGTGTGTGTTACTGATTGTGTTCCTTAAACTGAAGGTTATCCCCTTGCCTCCTGTAAATGGCTTGTCCTTGTTATGGCATTGTGGCACTACCTAAATTATTGCATGAGTAACTCATAATTCCACAAATCCCTTATAATTCCAGCAAACTCTGGTTGCCTCTAGATGCATCACAGGGCTGTACATTCCTACAATGCTCATGAACATGTTCTTGAACTCAGGAACAATAACATGAGGACGGTCTTGGTGCCCCTGGTTTTCCCAGGCTGATCCTACAGCACAGTGTGGAATTCCTTACAGAAGCACCAGCAGAAATAAGAACAGAATCCCAGAATTGTCAGGGCTGGCAGGGACCTCTGGAGACCATCCAGCCCTGACAATTCTGGGATTCTGTTCTTATTTCTGCTGGTGCTTCTGT